AGCCAAAAAATATCCCAATCTCTTATATTGTTACTATATGTAGGCTTATTTGTTTCTTTTTAACTAATACCCCAGTAGGTGAAAAAAATATGTAAATACTTTTACGGAAATAAGATTTATCGTGTAGGATTGCTCTGGTGACTTGAATGTCTGACTCAAGAATCAAGGCAGAAGCGTTTTTTTTAGATTGAGATGTTGGATACTAAGGCATATTTTTGAGTTACAATTGGAAATTGAGTTATACTTTTTTAGTTAATTATAATACCTAATTTGGACAATGAATTGTTTTAGTAAAGACCAGGAGGTACAAGTTAACTCTGGTAAATAATGGACCTAAACACTGCCGATTTCAAGCAACGACAGCTGCTGAAATATACTTGTATACATCTTTTTTTTCCATTTAAATTCCTTTCAGATACTTTGCTCGCTTCCTCTTTGAGGCTCCGCTTATTACACAAAGTGCTATTGGCGTGCTTCGTCGCTACTGCTGGGTATCTTCTCAGGCTCCCTATGGATTTCAGGTTTGCTTGCTCTCATAACTTATCTATAAGGCTTGAATTCTTTTGATTATCTGTTTGGATAAATATAGCTGACATAGGTCTGAATCTTTTTTTTACCTTTCTAAGCTCTTTATTTTTCACAAAAAGCTCAACTTTGGTATTTGGGGATTTCTTTGACTTATAGATACGAAGATAAACTTAGTTTCGATGATTCTTCTGAGATAACATTGCTAGGGGATCCTTCATTTCGTATGAAATTGTATGAAGAATAAATTCCTTGGTCGATCTCACCAGATGAGGACGGATGAATCTCGTTGTACCACAGCCGTTTGGCCTTTAGACGATATTCATGTTGACGCAGTCCACGAGACTTGTTTCTTTGTTTCGGGTGAAAACGTGCTAAGCTTTCGTCCATCATATGATTGACATCATCAGAGATGGAACTCATTCTTGTAAAAGTCTTCCTCTTAGCGAGGGAGGATGTCTCATGGAGTATGTCGACCTGGACGTCGTAGTAATGATAAACGGTTGCAGAACACTGGGATGTAGCCGTTCTCTTTTGGTTTAATCGACCTACGAATCTTTTCTTCGTGCACTTTCATACGAAATTAAGGTCTCCGCAAAAATGTTGTCTCATGAGTTTCTACGAAACCCAATTACACTTCGTATTTGCTTTTGGTACCTTGGATTTTCTGGATTAAGCTCTTACTTTCTCTCCTGGGTTTTGAACTATCCTCGATTTGAAGATATAAAGACGAAGATGTGGTCTCTGGTATGTTCGCAGTCTCATTTCGATTTACATAAGTGGGTTGACCTCGTCGTCGCAACTTGATCTTGTTTTCAGGGCGACTATGTAGAACGCACCTAGTCCGAAGTCGTCTGTCATAGTAGTTGTCATGATCCCTAGAATCAGACAGACTTGGTACATTCTCAAACATTTCGCCGGCACCGTGGTCGTCATCACCAATGAGTTTGTCATTCTCCGCACCAAGCTACTAACTCGTTTAAAAGACAAGTTAAGTCAATCCCTCGACAAACTTTCTGCCGAAAACGGTTACACTATCACCATTCTTTCTGTCCTGGCCTATCTATCCACTCTTTACTCGCTTATCCTACTGCCGCCCTATCACTTCTCACTTGTTTACATTTCACTCGTCAAAATGTGTGCCCTTTTGTGGCAAATCTAGTGTGGCCTCAT